CGTCATTACGTTGCCATGGCGACTCCGATTGCAATAAAACCCAGATCATAAGAAATTTTCATCTTTATATAATACAGTTGTGGTAACCTTTTTTCCATATCTTTACTCATGCCGACGTAGTTAATGCTCAAAGTTGGGAGGTATCAACCCCAAAAAATCCAGTCGAGCCACCTTAAGCAGCGACGACGAAGCGGACGACGACGACGGATTGTACCGCGTAGAGACTGGGACAGAATAGCTCGTTCACGGCAAGGAAAAGGCGGGAAAATAAAAAGTTAAGCTTTGCTCGACGTACGACGTGAACGTAAACGAAAGCACTGCAGTTTTTTGGTAAAATGGTTAATTTTCATGAGCTTCAAGAGCTTTTTCTCCTAAGTCACGCTCATGGCATTTTGGATCACGAAGAGCTGCTGATTTTGTACGAGGAGTATTGGCCAAAAAATCCCGACTTTTGCTATGAAAATTACGAAAGGTTTTCTCTTGATGATATGAACGATGAGAGTACTTGGCCGAGTTCAGGTTCAGAAAACACGATCTTCCACTTCTCACCGAGGTCCTTCAAATACCAGACAGTTTTACTTGTTACCAAAGAACCGTAACAAGTGGAATGGAAGGACTTTGTGTTCTTCTTAGAAGGTTATCTTATCCCTGCAGATTCAGTGATATTATTCCACGATTCGGCAGACCAGTACCAGTCCTTAGTATGGTCAGCAATCAAGTACTTGACTATACATATGACATTCACGGCCACAGAATCACTCAGTGGAATCACCAAATTCTCTCTCAGCCCTTGCTGCAACTGTATAGCGACACTATTGCCGCCCAGGGTCTGCTCTAGACAACTGTTTTGGCTTTGTTGATGGGACTGTTCGTCCAATTTGCAAACCTGGAGAACATCAAAGAGTGGTCTATAACGGGCACAAAAGAGTACATGCTCTGAAATTTCAGTGTGCTGCCCTTCCCAATGGTCTGATAGATCATTTATATGGACCAGAAGGTATGAAATTGTTACCTTTCATTTCTTCTGCTTTGATGATTAGTTTTAATTTTTTTTTCTAATTTTCAGAAGGAAGAAGACACGATGCAGGTATGCTGGCAGATTCAAGACTCCTTAATGACTTCCAAGCATTTGCAAACTCCCCTTTTGGAAATCCATACTGCATTTATGGTGATGCGGCATACCCTTTAAGGATACACCTTCAAGCCCCTTTTAGGAATAGTCTTAACCCCTCAAATGATGGATTTCAATCGATCGATGAGTAGTGTCAGAGAATCAGTAGAATCAGATCGTGATCCTGAGCGAACCTGAGCCCTCGTTATTAGTTTTCTGATAGCGGTCTGCACATGTCCCATTTTGACAGCTGTCAATTGACCTTAATTTGGCCTGCCAATGTAACTTTAAACGACTGTCAGCCAACTGACAGGCATGCCCGGCGTAGTGTCGTTTTTATCTTGAATTGTTAAGTGTGACATATTATATCAGCTTATATATAGGGGCAAAACGACTGGTCTTTTATCTGAGCCCGCGAGACGGTCATGTGACAATTGTCAGCGGATGTCTGATTTTGACAGCTGTCAATCTAATCGTACTCATACGGATGGCTTACATAACTAAGAGCCTAGTGAAGTTGTGCAAGATCTATTGTGACATTTGACATCGGCTTACATGAAGTGTGTGTACGGACTTGCGTACGCTACGTCATAACCAAATTTTCTGGGATGGATAGTTTACCAAATTTTCTTACCCATGGTGCTTCGCTGCGCGCGCGCTTCGCGCGCGTGGGAGCTCCGCTATTATTGTCACTTTTACTACTGATAGCGATTAAGGTGGCACCCTAGAGTAAATTGGCCGTGCGCAGCCTGAGCACTAGTATGGCGCGAGCTTTAAAATCCGCGCGACGTCCACGCAAAAATTAAAACAAACATGGCCTCTCAGTTTCGAAATATTCCACCCGAAAAACTTTATTAACTTTCTATTGAAGCTCTTTGTGCAAAAAGTTTGATTAGTGTAGGTCAAACATTTATGAGAGGAGACTAAGCTACACCGGTTACAAGTCACTATAGATTTCCATAAGAGTAAATTGTATGTAAAAGCAAAGCAGAAATTTTCCAAAGACATCAATTCTTTCGCTTCAAAAGTAGACAAGAGTTAAATAGTCGAAGTAAACGGTGAGTGGAAACTTTACTTACAAAACAAAGAAGTAAGTACACTAACCCAGAAGGAAGCAATGTTGCTGTTTCTGGCCTTTGGTTCACGGTCAGTGGGAAGATCTGAAAGATCGAGCCAATTCCCGAACAAACACTGAAGATTGTCTTCATTGGCGGAGCTCCTCGGTCACTTTATTTCTCTTACATTTGATTTGATTTAAGTAATTCTAGAAGTGGCTTTAAGACAAGATAACAGGGAGTGTAAATTTTTTTTTTGTTTTGCCGACTCTATCACATAATTGTTTAAAAAACTTTTCAGAAAAAAAATTTCCCACTTAACTTGCACCCTAATCGAGGGAACCTTTCCATCGACGAACCAACATCCTTGTATTTTTTCTTGTTTCAAACGTCCTTCAACGCACTTGCAAGATGCACTAGAAAATGTTTTTGCACATCGAGAAATAATTTTTACTCACAGATTGACCCTTGACGAAAGCAGTAGTTGTCCGTCGAGACCTACGGTCTTGTACGTGTAGCTGAGGACATGATGTACTATTTATAGATCGGCGCCATCTTTTACAGCAGACTTTTAAAGAAAAACTTAGCCATCGAAATTATCCCTGCAGAAGAACAAGGTTGAATAAGTATCCGGAAGTGGGCTGACATTTGAAGATCTGCAAACAGTGTACAGCAGATTAGGAAATGAAGGGCTTATTGCGATCCTAGCACAATCACCGTCTCCGACGACAGCCATCCTCACGAGTGACCACCACGGTTCGAATTTTAACTACAATAGTCAAGTACTTTGAAGAAAACATCCTGTGTTAGGTATAAAATTGAATCTGCTATCTCTCCTTTTTCAACTGGCGAGATATCACCGTAATAATACTAATAAACGGCTTCAAAACAATGGCTTTCGTACTCTTCAAAGAAACCACATGTTTCCAGTAGCTTTGTGCATTATGCGCATGCGGGCGTGATGGCTCGCGCGTATTTTGCTCACACGACCCCGAACCACGCGCGTTTTTCGGATTTTTGTGACGTCAGCGCAGCTAATTAAGCGTGAGTTTCTCGCGTTTCCTTCGGTAAATTTTTTTAAAAATCGCCTCATTTCTTAACAGTTGCAGTACCTTTGTACTGTCATTTTTTTTGTCAAAATCTGTAAGAGCTAAACTCCTCTATTAAGAAAAATTACAAATTTTAAAATATTGGCAAAACCGCCTTAGCGACCCCATGTTTTTTCCACTTTAAAATGTTAAGCAATATCGTTAATATAAAGTGGCAAAGTTTAAAGACATTTCACCGCAGGAAATTAGAAATATTAAGGAAAAATGGGCAAAAATGACAAAATTACTGCCTGTTTAAGGATGCGATGCTTCCATGGCAACGGCCTTAATCCTGAAAATGAATCTTGATAAAGGAGCCTTCTTATATGGGTAACCTTAGCGGTGAATCTCGTGAACAAAATCGCAAAGACAAAGTAACTAGATTTCCTTCTGTGACGTATGCTTGATAGCTCGGATTATTAGCAAATACTGTAGGGAGCCATCTTAAACAGCGTTTACAAAAACTGGCATGCAAATCCTCTTCAGTGTAACCTTTGATGTTTCTTCCTGTATCAAGCTTTTCAAGAATGTTTATTAAGGTGCTCTTTAAGTAACCGTGAAGCATGGTACCATCCGCGGCAAACGTAACATCGACCTTGGTACTATTGAGAACTCCTACTGCCCAACAGCTAACTTGATGTCGTTCTCAGGGCGTGCCTTACAAGCCTGACATACTCGTAGCAACATGGAGCGATTCGCCAGAAGAAAATGTGCTAACGTTGTGTAGAGTTTCTCGGATCCTCCTCCTCCTTATTTCCGGAGGGAAGGGTACTTTCTTATATGGCCTATACAGGGATGTGCCGCTCGACAAGGCATTGTTTGTGTTGACGGTCTTCGAAGGAAAAGAGTCCTTAGTTATCATGAGTTATGCGAGCTGAAATTTGTGCTCTGTGATCGCTTTGGTCCAGTGGAGGGAAGCAGTAGTTATAGGATTGCAACCTGCCCTTGGTTAAATCTAGAGGCGATTGAAGTATTTGGAGTGAACTTAAAGCTAATTTACCTGTGGTTGATAAGCGAGAACTCCGCTCGAGCAAGTAACCAACTTTGGGTAATGTAGTAACCAATACCCCGCCTAGTCCTAGTCCGCGTGTTTACGTATAAGCAATTCGACTTTAGCGCGGGTTATGCAAATCGTAAAGTATCTTGCTCGAGTTCGCCAGCCGTTACAACTACGTTACTTTCTTTATCTTACTTCGTTCGCCGTATTCCCAAATCGTCAGGTAACGTCCTCTGTCTTCGTTTATCTCGTATTTCCTATGTTATCTGTATTTCCTACGTTATTTCCATTGTTGTAATTAGTCGTTCCGCTCTTAACGTATTATGTTTGTTACTTTATCCTAGAAACCACTGGCAACATCAGGTGAATAAAGTTAAGAGTTCGAGTTGTTCTAGTTGAATTAAAACTATTTTACGACTTATATTATTGCTGGTGCGTTGGCTACAGTTTCTTACGTTAGTGGAATTATGTCAATGGAAAATTCGTCGAACGGACGAGGGGACGCCGTAAGGCGTGAAAGAATGCTGTCCCTGAAGAGAAGTCGAGCTGGTCACCTTGGCTATTTAAACAGGTTGTACAAAGACGTCGAGTTATTAATGCAAAACGCGGATGATTATCATGTGGCTTGTAAGAAGAAGAAAGATGTTGAAATCGCGTTTGCGAGATGTTTTCAAGCCTAGGACGAATATTATCAATTCGCCATCGACCCCGAAGTCAAATCAGATGCGCTTAATGCTTGTCACAGCATAATGACAGGAAAAAAGGAATTCGACGAGCATTTTGGAGAATGGTCGCGATCCGTTCAACGTACCGTGGATAACACTTCAGTGGTTCCTCGCCAAGATTATGGTGATACTGCCGAATCACAGATTGTCACACGTTCAGTTGTCACCTCAAGTAGCAGAAATTCGAAGAGCTCCAAGTCCAGCTCACGTGCAAGTGATCGATGAAAAAAGGCTAAAGCCGAGCTGCTTTGTCGTGAAGTTGGGTTGAAGAATCTGTTAAAGCGCCAGGAGATGGAACGTCAAATGGAACGTCAAATAGCCGAGATGAAAATTCAAGAAGATGAATTGAAACGCCGGATTGCTTTATTGACCGCAGAAGGGGAAATAGAGAAAGCTAAGGCCGTTGATGAGCTTTATGAAACTTCGGAATATTCAAAACGTGGTATCGAGGCAGAGTTGAAACCGGTTTACAAACACGAAACACGCGATTCCTTACCTCCTGTGAAAGACCTTCAGGTTGGACCGAACTTTAAGAGGGGCGACTTCAAGCAAGTTGGAAGAAACTATTCTAAATCAGTGCTGAATCCAGGTGCTCAACCTTGGGACCTAGGACCCCCGCAGAACACTATCGGCGCTGGAGACCCCACTGGTTCCCAACAGTTGTAAGAAATATTAACACAGCAACAAGAAGCTTTGCAACTTATGGCGTACACAATTCGACAAGGATTTGAAATGCCGAAAAGAGAGCTTTTGACGTTTGATGCTAACCCGCTTAACTACTGGTTGTTCATAAATAACTTCGAGGTCAACATCGTTAAGAGGGTACCGGACCCCGAGACGAGGCTAACTTACCTTATTCAACACTGTACTGGGAAGGCTAGGGAAGCCATTAAAAACTGTGCCATAATGTCCTGTCCAGAGCAAGGCTACAGGAAAGCCCAAGAAATCTTGTACCATAGATTTGGACAGAAACACATCATTGCCCACGCGCACATCACGAAGATTGTGGAAGGTCCGCAGATCAAGAATACTGACTCCACTGGTTTATTAGACCTGTCCGTTGAAATGCAGAATTGTGCGCTGACTCTCGTACAAATGGGCTACGAGGCAGATGTTAACAGCTCGGACAATCTCGTTAAGGTGGTGAAGCGTCTCCCTATTCATCTGCAGTCTAAATGGGTGGACAGAGCCGGTTCATTAACCTTAACTGGAACGGAACCTACCTTCATGGATTTAGCTGGTTTTGTTGAAGAGAAAGCTTTGCTGGCAAACACTATGTACAGACGAATAGTTGGATCGACACCAGACAAAGAACGGAGCTCTAAGCCACCCCCCAAAATAAAGTCACCGTCCTCGAAAGGAAACACCTTCGCGATGCAGTCCGAAGACCTTCCTCAAGTAAACACAGCTCCTATCGTAACTTTTCCTTTGTGTTCTGGTCAACATAGTCTGTGGAAATGCGAGCTCATGAAAGCAAAGAGCCCAGAAGAAAGAAAAAGCTTCGTTCGACAAGCAAGACTATGTGACAACTGTCTTGGAAGCGGTCACATGGCCATAAATTGCAGACGTAAAATGATGTGTCAAGTGAATGGATGTGGATGGAAACACCACTCTATGTTGCAAGTTAAGAAGAAGAGCAACAATAATAGCACCGCTCCTAACCATCCTGCAGTCACCTCGGAAGAGACTGGAGCGAGTACATCAGTGGAACCGGGGAGACTGGAACGGGCGCCGTCAGCGGGGCCGGGGATGCTGGTCGGTGTGGTGCTACAGACTCTGGCAAGAAGAATGTTTGTTTAAGAATCGTTCCAGTTGTCGTGAAAGGAATGGGTCAGCACAACACAATTGTGGCAAACGCGCTACTGGACCCTGGTTCGGACGTCACGTTATGTGATGTGAGTCTAATGGAGAAATTTCAAGTCGTTGGCCGTCCTAAGGAATTCTCACTAGCGACCGTTAATGGTGCATCCGACACTCGAAAGGGATTTGAGTTGTCTTTGTCTGTTCGAGGATTACAAATGAAAGAAGAAGTCGTGTTAGATAGAGTTTGGACAGTGGATACGTTGTGTTTACCTCAAGGTAGTCCACCTACTAAGGAAGATACTGCTAAGTGGCCTCATCTGAAAGGAATAGACTTTCCGAGAGCGCAATCTGATAAAGTGTCTGTGCTTATTGGTGCTCATTGGGTGTGCGATCAGAGGCGTGGCAGGCGTGGTCAACCTTATGCTGTGTGTACCCCACTCGGTTGGACCCTGATGAGACCACTGAATTCGTGTGATAGAGATTGTTTCAGTGTGAACTTTGTTCGCCATGACGACGAAACGCTTCATCGGCAAATGGAGAGCATGTTTAGGAGTGACTTTAACGAGCCTATGATCTCCTCAAAGGCTGCAATGTCAGTTGAAGATCAAAGAGCACTGTCGCAAATGGAAACTTCCGTGAAGCTCGTGAATGGCCACTATCAGTTGGGGTTGCCATGGAGGCACAAGTCAGTAAACCTCCCGAACAATCGTGAATTTGCGTTCGGAAGATTGCGCTACTTAAAGAAAAGATTCCAGCGCGACCCTCACCTCTTCGAGAAGTACAGAGACACTATTAACGGTTATGTATCCAGCGGCTACGCAAGACGAGTTCCTTGTAGCGAACAGGAAAATGTGAAGGATTCACCAGTCTGGTACTTACCCCACCATCCAGTTTTCCATCCTCAGAAACCAGGGAAAGCGAGAGTCGTGTTTGACTGCGCGGCCAAGTTTAAAGGCACCTCCCTGAATGATCAGCTTCTTCAAGGTCCAGACCTAACGAATGGACTTTTGGGCGTTATCATACGTTTTCGCCAAGAACCCGTTGCCATGGTTGCGGATGTGGAAGGCATGTTCCATCAGGTGCGGGTAGCTCCCGATGACTGAAATGCGTCAAGATTTCTGTGGTGGCCTAATGATGATCTCTCCAAAGAGCCAGTTGATTACCAGATGTTAGTGCACTTGTTCGGAGCCTCGTCGTCTCCAAGTTGCGCAAGTTTTTGTCTAAAGAAAACAGCCTCGGATAATCAGGGTGACTCCGATGTGGAAACCATTACCACTGTTGACCGGAACTTCTATGTAGACGACGGTCTGAAATCTGTCCCTGCGACTGACAAGGCGACACGTTTGTCTGGCCAGTTACGAGAATTGTTGTCAAGAGGAGGGTTTCGGCTTACCAAATGGATTAGTAATGACAGGAACGTAATCGCCACCGTTCCAGTAACAGAGAGAGCGCCCTCAGTAGTAAACTTGGATTTGGAAGATCTCCCTGTAGAACGCACATTGGGAGTGCAGTGGGCCATGGAAACAGACGACTTCAACTTTCGCATCATGAATGAAGGAAAGGCCCTCACACGCAGAGGAATCTTGTCTGTTGTAAGCTCCATGTACGACCCTCTCGGGTTCGTCGCGCCCATCATTCTGCCAGCCAAGAGCCTGTTGCAGAGCCTATGTAAGCAGAAGTATGGCTGGGACGAAGAGATTTCCCAAGCAGATTCCACTGTATGGCAAGAATGGCTGAAGGAACTTGCATGTTTGAGAACAATATCAGTTCGCAGGTGTTTCAAGCCACCAGGATTCGGTGCAGTCGTCAACGTTCAGTTACATCATTTCTCAGATGCTTCTGAAATTGGTTATGGAGCGGTATCGTACCTCCGAATCGTCGACGACAAGGGTGCTCCGCACTGTTCTTTTGTTCTTGGCAAGTCTCGCGTCACTCCCCTGAAGGTAGTGTCCATACCACGTCTTGAGTTAGCAGCTGCAGTAGTCGCTGTGAAGTTGAACTGCCTGATAGGGAACGAATTAGAGTATCCCATACACGACACAATCTACTGGACGGACCCTACCGTAGTCTTGCAGAACATTCGCAACGAATCAAGAAGACTTCACACGTTTGTTGCAAACAGAGTCGCGATGATACACGATGAATCCACACCACGTCAGTGGCGACACGTTGACACCTGTGCTAACCCTGCCGACATCGCGTCCAGAGGGGCGAAAGGTTCTGAACTTCACACGTTGGAGCTGTGGCTTCAAGGCCCAAAGTTTCTGTGGAAGGACGAGAAACATTGGCCTGACCAACCGTCCCAGTTGCAGGAATTGCCTCAAGATGACAGTGAATGCAGAAAATGCCCTGGTCGAACAAACGTGATCGTCAGCAGTAAAATGTTGGAACCGCTGTTGTCCCACTATTCATCCTGGGACAGTCTTCGACAGGCCATACCCTGGTTAGTACGTTTCAAGAAGTACTTGTTTGGCCTCCTTAACAAGGATCCAAAGAGCATTCCCAAGGGGCCCTTGACTGTCAGGGAAGTTATTGCTGCAGAGAGTGTGATCATCAAAGCTGTCCAGCATGATGCGTTTCCAGCGGAGCTAGCTGCAGTAGGCCAAGAAGCGTCGGAGAACCAGAAGAAGTGCTTTCCACGATCTAGTCCAATACACAACTTGAACCTTTTTGTTGCCGAGGGAATATTAAGAGTAGGAGGTCGCCTCGAGAATGCTCCTGTTTCATTCCAAACGAAGCACCCGGTTATTCTTCCCAGTAAACATCACGTCACAAATTTGATCATCCAGAATTGCCATCGCCAACAAGGGCACTGTGGTCCTTCTCAAGTTCTGGCCTTCATCCGAGAGAGATTCTGGATTGTACGTGGCCTCTCAGCAGTACGCAGGGTTTTGGTGAGTTGCATGAACTGTCGCAAGCAAAATGCTCGTCCTGGTGAACAGATTATGGCCCCACTCCCGTCAGCACGAGTCGCTCCGACAGATCCACCATTTACCCATGTGGGTGTGGACTATTTCGGTCCCCTCTTTGTCAAGCAAGGACGTAGTCAAGTGAAACGTTACGGATGTTTGTTTACATGCCTTACCATGAGGGCGGTGCACATTGAGGTCGCGCACACATTGGAAGCAGACTCCTTTATCCGTGCATATCAGCGTTTTGTTAGTCGCAGAGGGAAGCCCAAGGAAATACACAGCGACAACGGCACCAATTTCACGGGCGCCGAGCGAGAGTTTAGAGAAGCACTGGAGCGACTGGACCAAGCCAAAATCTACAACAGTCTAAGGTCGAACGACGTTCAGTGGTCATTTAACCCCCCTGAGGCCAGCCATCAAGGTGGAATCTGGGAACGAATGATTCGCTCCGTACGGAAGATTTTGGGTGCCCTGTTAAAGGAACAGCTGGTGAACGACGAAACGTTGTCAACCCTTCTTTGTGAGGTGGAAAGGATTCTCAACGACAGGCCTTTGACTCCCCTTAGTGACCACCCAGATGATCCTGAGCCGCTGACGCCGAGCAAACTACTGCTCCTGAGATCCAATTCTTGCCTCCCGCCGGATGTTTTTAAAGGTCACGACAAGTATAGCAAGCGTTGGCGCCAAGCACAATGCCTGGCAGATTCATTTTGGAAGAGATGGATGAAAGATTATTTACCTGTACTCCAAACAAGGCAGAAATGGAGCGTCCCTCGTCGAAGCTTCGCTGTCGGTGACTTGGTTCTTGTTGTCGACGAGAAGACGCCTAGAGGTCGCTGGCCAATGGGCTTGATTGAAGAGGTATTTCCAGATAGCCATGGTCAGGTACGTAGCGTTAAAGTGAAAACGGCCCCATCTGTCTACAGACGTGACATCAGGAAGCTGTGCCTCCTTGAAGGAGTCCAGAACTAATGAACTCTGATAAGTTCTATGGCTAAGACTGCTACATTGCGAACTGTGTAATCTAAATTAAGTTAATTTTCGTCACATTTCTGTATGTTCTTCGTAGTCTAGGAATTGGTTATTTTGTTGCTGGGATTACCTAGTAGCTAATTCGGGGCCGGTGTAGTAATCAATCCCCCGCATAGTCCCAGTCCGCGTGTTTACGTATAAGTAATTCGACTTTCGCGCGGGTTATGCAAATCGTAAAGTATCTTGCTCGAGTTCGCTAGCCGTTACAACTACGTTACGTTCTTTATCTTACTTCGTTCGCCGTATTCCCAAATCGTCAGGTAATGTCCTCTGTCTTCGTTTATCTCGTATTTCCTATGTTATCTGTATTTCCTACGTTATTTCCATTGTTGTAATTAGTCGTTCCGCTCTTAATGTATTATGTTTGTTACTCTATCCTAGAAACCACTGGCAACATCATGTAAATAAGATTAAGAGTTCGAGTTGTTCCAGTTGAATTAAAACTCCTTTACGACTTATATTATTGCTGGTGCGTTGGCTACAGGTAATATTAACAAGTATATAGAGATCTATAAAGAGAACAACGGCAGATCTAAAACTCGCTGGAATGGCGCTGAAACAGCCAAAAATGCTAAGAAGACACCAAAAATTTATACCAGGAGACAAAAAAGAATTTCTGATGTCTTTTTCTTGCCATTTTTGACCCCTAAATAACGATCGTTATGCAACAACTATTCTCACTCGTCAGGTTGGGGTACTGGTGGTTATATTTCGCGTCACAGGTATCTTCTAAAGTCTATTCTGAGCTGTTTAAGTCCTGATAATGGCAAAATTACATATTTTGTAGTTCTGGGGAAATCTCGTAAGTTTCCAAAAGAGTTGTGCCACCTTTTAACTTCCAGCCTCGTTTCCGTGCTATAATGGTCACTTGACCAGTTTAATTGCTTACCACATTCGTTTTCAAGTCAGATAAATCATTATGTGTTATACGAATTATTCTGGTAGCAATCTATTGTCATTATAAGATTGTTTTCATGTACTTTACGTCACAGCCTTGCTCCCATGCTAGAACATAAACGTCACATTTTAAATCCACCCTTGTGGCCATCAGTGCAAGTTAAAAAATTGCCAACAACAGTTTTTATGTTCCTTAGAGTCCCCTTAACACATCTGGATAGGTGGCTTGCTTTTTTCACAAAAATCCCACGGAACTTTATTTCTTGACATATGCTACCAGACTAATTGTTTTCGTGAGCCAATAAAAACTTTTTTTTTGACGCCTGTCAAATGATTGTCAAATCGCACGTCCTGCACTTGTTTCCGGTCCCCCAAACTGGAAGAAGCCATATAATAAACATCTTATTAGCCTCGTTGTTTCGGTCCGTACTGTAAATTACGGATCCTCGTTTTTTTACATCGATTTATGGCCCAAGCGCGAAAAAAACTCGGTCCGTAATTTAAAGCACGGACCGAAAACTCGGCTAATAAGAGGTATTTATGAATAATTATGATAATAAAAATGATAAAATAAGATGATAACATAGATATAGAATAGAAAAACTAATGGCTAAAAGTTAAAAAGATAAAATCTGTCAGCATAATCTTAAAAATTAGAAATATACAATTTTATAATCTAAGTGGTACAAAATGCTTTTTTAAAAAGGTGAGTCTTCAACTTTCTCTTAAAAGTGTCAATTGAAATGGATTCCCTGATAAATCTTGAGTAGTAGGGCTTCAGCAAAGATAAGCCTCGTTGGTGCCTTCCCTTGCCTTCCGTATGCCTTCCCTTAATTGATATGCATAAGCCTATGACGTCACCTCGGAAAGAAGTGTCTTCCTGCATACTAATTTGGATTAGGTTTACTAATGAGCGTCACTCTACTACAATAGGAACAATAGGCTTGCCTAGACTTGCCCGGGCTCTTTTAACCCTGATTGGATAGTAAACAATCTATTATGTGTTCAGCATAAAAGCGCGCTCTCCGTTCAGCATTTTATTCTTGCAATCGCTTTGTTAAGGAGAACATTTGTCCGAGTTCGCTTGCCTAACTAAAAATTCGGTTATAAACAAAACTCAGACGCAAAAAATGGAGCTCAAACTCTTTATTTCAATCTATTGCAAACAGTGCCCTCTCTATAAAATTACTTTATCTTGATGTCTTGTTACACGCTCTGTTAACCAGTGGTAATTTGCATCTGACTCATGCCTCTTTTGTGTTTTCGCAAATTAAACAATCACGCTTAAGTCCTCTAACAAAAAGATAAGGCACCGTTTCATACACAATTGTTAGGTCTATTGAAAAATAAAACAATCCACTGCAAAGTGCATCGACAACCGTTTAATTAATTTGTCATTGGTCTATCGAGCATTCGTTTGGTTCTTTTCTAGGATTAAGTCATTAATAAAACACACTTAAAGTTTGGTTGTTTACAGTTTTTATTGAAGTGCAACAATACAAAGATCCAGGAAATAAAAAATTCTGTAACATTCATAGTAATGTCTGGTCTTCATCTTGTGGAATGGGCTGCTTTTCGTACAATCGATTGAGTAAGAATTTTCGCTTATCGATCGCTAGTTCTGTCGATTCCAACCAATCAAATCCTTCTGTGTCTTTAAGCTATTTTTGAGTTTCCATCACTTTTTTGAAGGTGGGGTCTTTTTTCATTGCACGCATCCACTGTAGATTCTCTAAGAGTACTTTTCTTAGCTCTTTTCTGTAAACAGGAAGAAGAGCGTTCTCGGCTTTCACGCGGGCCACATTTTCTGAATCTCCGTCCCCTTCGTACTCATTGATCAATGCGTTGAGCTGGGTCTCATGGCGTTTCTCGGCTTCACCAAGAATGCGTGACCAAGGCTCTAAGTTTTCCGTTTCTTCCTCTTGGGAAGACTCCGTTCCTTGGCTAGAGACTTCGCTTTCTTGGGAGAAATCGCTTTCTTCGCTGTCTTCATATTTTCCAGCACCTTGTTGAAGGTATAAGGTATAGACTGTGCTCGTCATCTTTGGTTTGAGCCGCACGCGTTCTGATAGGAAACTAAACTTCAGAGAGCAACGCGCCTCTTTTATAGAAAATTAGTGAAGGCGGGGCTACTAAGCGTTCTCCTTCGTAAATAATAATCGATCTTACATCGACCCCTCATCGGCCCCACATCGATCCCACATCGACCCTACATCAAGCCCACATCGACCCCAAATCGACCTCACATCGACCCTACATCGACCCCACATCGACTCCACATCGACCCCAAATCGACCTCACATCGACCCTACATCGACCCCACTCGACCCCACATCGACCCTACATCGACCCCACATCGACCCCACATCGACCCTACATCGACCCTACATCGACCCCACATCGACCCTACATCGACCCCACATCGATCTAATTTTACACCACGATTGACAAGAATTGGATTAGAACTAATGATGACTCATCAAATTTGATTAGCGAAGCTATATAAACAGGAAAACAACTTATTTCCTTCAGTATGTTGGAGGTTCTCGTGTGGTAAAGATGCCGTATAAATTCAAGAGAGATTGTCCGGTATGTGGTAAGCCAGAGTTACTCTCTTTGAGTGATCACCTGCGTCAAGTGCATCGATTAAAGAGCCACGAAAGAAAGCAATGGCTAAAAGCAGCAGTATTTTCGGGATCTAAGAAAAGTCTGGGTATAACACAAGGAGTGTCCCGACGTTTTACACAATTATTGCACACAGAAAAGGAAAGAAGAAGAGAACGAAAACGAACTATTGCAGCTGTCAAAGAACCGGAAAAACCTCAGCATTGTATAGTCAAGAGGCCCAAATTCACTGACGATGTTTTGTTGGCAACCGAGCCTTATCCAGATTTTATGTTTCGCCATAAGTTCTCACTCCTTGTGGTTGGACCAAGTCAATCAGGGAAAACAGTTTTCGTAGAACAGATTCTAACGAGAGATCGTATTGTCTACGAAACCAACAAGCCCGGTCGCATTTTATGGTATTACAGTCAGTGGCAAGATAGATACGAAGCTTTGAAATCAGCGATCGGAAAGGACATTAAATTTTTTCGTGGCCTTCCCACATTTCAAGAAGATCTGCGAGAAATTGACCCAAAATACAACAACGTTATCATCTTTGATGATCTAATGGCAGAAGCGATCGAAAGCCCCATCGTTTCTCGGTTGTTTACCCAAGGTCGCCATAGAAATGCGAGCGTCATACTGCTCCTTCAGAATATGTTCCCCAAGGGAAAATTTAACACCGATATCAGTCGGAATGCACAGTACATGGCTCTTTTCCGAAGTCCTAACGATCGGAAACAAATCAGAATTGTTGCTGAGCGTATGTTTGATAAGAATCGCCAACGATTCATGACAGCTTATTATCAGGAAACAGAGAGGCCTTACGGTTACATCTTTGTAGATAATAAACCGGATACGGCGGCAAATAAGCAGGTGTTGAGCGACATCTTTGGCTCTTGTCGAGTTTACCCAAGTATCAACAAAACCTTAAAACCAGAGGGAGAGGTGGAATCGATCCCCCCAAAGGATCTTATTGTGTCCCCGAAATATGCTGAAGCTAAATCATCTGCGCGTAAACCGAAACCGTTTGATCTGGATTGGTGTGGGATGACCTGGCCCGCCTTGCAGAATTATTTACATGGAGCGCCCTATCTCAAAGCTATTCCAGAAGGGTTTGGCCTTTGCGAGATGTACACGAGCACTCGAAATGCTGTTAACCCTTATACCCCCACAGTCATGTTTGCATCTGAAAATTACTGGCCCGTCAAAATAAAACATTATTCCAACGGCAAAAGAAAGTGGATTTATATACACGAAGACGAACCAAGTGTCCAAGCATTTGTTCAAGAAACGAAAGCAATCGAAAGAGCTAGAGGGAGAGGCACTTTCTAGGCTTTGAACATTTGCTCACCATATTGTAATCCTTTTTCTAAAGTTGTTGAGTTACTACAATAAATGTATTTTTGCTTTGTAAGATTTGAAGAAATAAAAGCTTTTAAGATGTTCACCTAAACGCATTCACGCTATTGTTTATATATAATTGAGTTGATTCCCGTGGATAATTTATGCGACAAGCGTTCATGTTGGCTCAGTATATATTAAATTAGTTTGCGATGAATAATAACATACAGTTCGCTTGCGTTCGTTTTGTTTCGTATGATACAGGTCTAAAAGGAAAAAGGCCAACCTGTTAATGGTTAACGCTCGATACCACAGTCTAGAAACGTTTGAAGGTTGAATTATATTGACAAAACAGAATCAATGGTTTTGTAGATTAAAAATATTTATCTTTTGTCATAGTGAATAGTTTTAAGTCGAGTACTGTTTTCGGACCGTTGACTAGTATGTTTGGAAGCTATCCGCTCAAAAATATTATTTACTGGAGTTTGTGACAATAATAAAATGCTGAACGGAGAGCGCGCTTTTATGTTGAACACATAATAGATTGTTTACTATCCAATCAGGGTTACAAGAGCCCGGGCAAGTCTAGGCAAGCCTATTGTTCCTATTGTAGTAGAGTGACGCTCATTAGTAAACCTAATCCAAATTAGTATGCAGGAAGACACTTCTTTCCGAGGTGACGTTATAGGCTTATGCATATCAATTAAGGGAAGGCATACGGAAGGCAAGGGAAGGCACCAACGAGGCTTATCTTTGCTGAAGCCCTACTACTATCTTGGCAAAGCATTCCATAACTTATAATTAGGTGCAGCAACAGAAAGGCCCGTTCACCGAGAGTTACCTTGGGCTTAGCATTCGGATAACTAAGTAGGGTACTGTCACTAGAACTTTTTAAATTATATTTTAGATACAGGTTTAGGAGTAATTAAAAACTTAAGTACGAAGATGCTAAGCCCTTAAACATCTTAAAAACAATCAACAAGATTTTAAATTCATTTCTCAACTTTACAGCCAGCCAATGTAAATCTACCAATAAAGGAGTAATGTGACAATATTTACTTTCATTGCATATTGTTTTACTTAAAATGTGAAAAGAAGCGTTTGAAACATGATTTGTTATCCGCGACACCCGTTTTGAACCATATATCCTTCAGCGGCCGGTCTTCCCTTTACCTTGAAGACGTCAACGACGTGTGCTTAAAGAGAAAAATTGGTGGCTGGTTATGCTCCTGTGGAATAGTAAAGAACCGACATATTTAACAATTATTCCTCGAGCCCGAATGGGCTCTGAGTCAATAGCCCATTAGGCCGAGGGCCGCATGGGTTATTGACTCAGAGGCCGTGAGGGCCGTGTTTTAGTAAAATCCAACTAGTTGGTCAAAAAATATCGAGACAAAACAACTTTAGCTAGTTAGAGCTAGACTTTAATCCTTTTTTTGCCGCCAAAGCCGGCGCTTTTCGCTACTAGTGGGCTATAACATATAGCCTAGTAGTAGCACAACCAGTCAGAACGCAGCATTGATGACAGCGTGGGACAGAGCCCCATACTCATGGAATATGGTCAACCTCTTTTCGTTTGGCTGTCACGTGATTGACCGAGCGTACGTACGTACGTACCTACGCGTCTACAGATTATACGGGTGGGGTAGGGGAGACTATCGAAAGGAAGGGAGGGGTGTCTCAGGCGTGTCTTGGCAACTCCGCATCTTTTATATAGGACATTCACAATATGGTCAATTGATAGCTGTCAAAACAGGATAGCCACTGACCAATATCCCATGACTATATCGCAGGCTTATGTGTCAACTCACGTGACCTTATTTATTTGGAAGCTGTCCGCTGACCAGTTAATTGTTTTACTAGATCGCGAACAATGTTCAATCTCATACTTTTGAGCTAATTTGGGAGCACAGGAAAACTGTTAATGCACACATTGGACATCAATGTTTCGATCAATTGACAGCTGTCAAAACAGGGTACCCGCTGACCAGTATCATTGCAGGTGTCCACCCATCGAGGTCAAGTATTTTTGAAGTTATCCGCTGACAAGTTACTAGTTTTCAAGTGATCGCAGGCTCAAGTTTAATTGTTTTTAAAATTCATATGAGATATGTTTTGTTTATGTGCCGCACAATTAAAATTTTGATTTTAAACTGACCTCGGACGCGAAAATTCAGCCAGCTGTTACAGGCAGGGAAGACAGTTGCTTTTGACTTTTCTCACCCATGGTCACGCGTTGGTCACGCTCTACGTCCAATTTTTATCCTCTGATTGGTAAAAATTTGACAGGTGAATTCATGCGCAAAATTAATGCAGCATCTTGAATCTTGTTTACTTTGACAGCTGAAGCTGACAGAGTTTTGTGTCAACTTGTGATGTTTTTAACTGTCTTTTTCCACTGGATGTGCAAAATGAAATCCAGCTGCTATCAGGAGTCTTCTGTTATTCATGGCTAGTT